TGAATCCTGCTTATTATTAATGTAACTATTAATAAACCATATGCTCTCGAAGATTGCACATACTACACATTTCTATAACCCTTCCACTTGATTCGCATCTAAGCATCGGCTAGAGCAGGCGGCAAATGATTAAAGCTGCCAAAACATTGGCAGTTTCAGCCAATACAATTACTATGTTTAGTTCTGTCAATGCCTTTCATTTATTGTAAGATCTCAAATGTTAAAAAACATAAATTACTATTTATTTTCAAAAGAAAAAGGTGTTAAATTTCGTTTGATACAGTTAATTTTTATTAATTATGCTGTTCTTTTAATACAGTGAGCTTACCTACAAAATCTTATTTTATAATTGTACACACCAACTGATTTCATTTTGTTTGAAAGTTTAATTTCTGGCTCCAATTGCCAAATTCAATAGTTCAGTTTATTAATCTCTCACCGTAGTGATGCTTAGGAAAGTATACATGGATAAGCGCTGTTAATATGTACAGGATGTAACTTCTTATCAGACATCGTTTATTCTGTTTTATTAACAATTACATTAATGTATTATATTATAGTTGTATGTTCACTTCTTGTGGCAGAGAGGGAATTATTCTATTACAATGATGTGGTTGCTCTTTGGTAAAGGTGGCGATGTCGTTGATGGTGTTATAGAGATCAGCAATGAATGTTATATATTACCTGAAGGAGATTGGGTCCTATGCTGACGTTGTAAAGGTTAGCAAGAAAAGTCTACCATGCTGATCAGGTGAGCATTTGAATGTGGTGGTGGTAGTTAACAAGGAGAGTCGACCATACTCATAAAAGGAGTATGGGAGTATCTGTGTGATAGTTATTCTCCATAAAGACTGATGATATACCTTCGACTGTTGAAGGATCAGATACTATGCTTTGTGTAGTCGACTATTTTCTAGAACGGCAATCAGCCCTCGACAGATTGTTGTCTGTGCGCACTGGAGGAGTGAACGAGCGTTCCTTGCAATGTCTGCGCTGAGAGAGCGTGTATTGCATGACCAACTCCTTGGTGTAGACTTCGTATGATAGCGTGGCTTGGACGTAAATGACCGGCTAGGACGAGTGACTGATTGTGGAGGAATAACTGATACTATGCACTTTATGACTACCGACACTAAGTACTGAATGACTGCTTTATGTTAACTACCTGGAGTCTTGTCGCGCGCTTTTCTAAGTATCGGGGTGGCAACCAACTCTAGATCGAAACAAGCTTTCAGCTAGTCGAGAATTCCGCAAAAGCAACGTAATTGTTCGAGGCCAAGCAACTTTCGGAAACTATGGGAATTCTAAGCTTTCGGCTACTCGAGAATTCGGCGAAAGCAAACGTAATCGTTCGAGGCCAAGCAGCCTTCGAAAATAATCGAGAATCCAAGCTTTCGGCTAGTCGACAATTCAACGCAAGCAAGCCTTGGAAGATTCGAGAATTCAATCGAAGTTGCTACGCGAAGGCTAAGCAGCCTTGTAGAGCTGCCGAGAATTCTGCTTTTGAATAATTGGGAAATCAATGTGAGAAAATGTAAACATTTATCAGGACTCAGTTAAACAATTAATAATTAGTTTTTAAATATAATTTTATAACGCAATAAAACAAGAATGTTAATATTAAAAAACGTGAGTAAATGTAATATTTAAAAAATAATTTAATGAAGAATGAATATTAATTTTTAAATGTGTAAATATAATAAAACTTTTACACATAATGCGCTTGTATACAAACAATTAATTATAATTGTTTAATTAATAGTTAAGTAATTAATACATACATAAATAATACATTTATAATTTATAGTATATTCAACGAAAAAAAAAGAAGATATATAAAATAAAAACTGTTAATATATATAAAAAAGTTTTAGTAAGAATCCTAGTTCACTACAAAATTTTACCTGCTGTAAATCTTATTCGCCAATCGTCACTATGAAAATCGTTTTGTACGATATGCCAAAATGTATCGATTCCATGGGGTAACGTAATGCAATGTAATAACAAAGGTACAGCTCTTTGTGCAAGATGAGAATATTCTCCGTGCAGTATCTCCCACAAGCTAGAACGAATTACGTCCTTGTAGTAATTTGCTTATCTGTACATAATTCTTTATTTAATACAAGATATTACCATTATAATTATACCTTATTGAAAGAGTTTATTTTAGATGAGTCTACAAAATTTTCAATGAATCTGTTACTTACCAAATTGTTAAATAGAAAATTAACTCCGTAATATTTATGTACTTATTAAATTAATTTATTAATAAAATAATTATTAATGATGTTATTACAAAGCACCAAATTAATTTTATAGTTAGTTTAATAGTAAACTTAATTTTTAATAAGATTAAATTATATACACATATTAATTTGAATATTTATTTACGAATATTTCTATTTTATTGAATTTGGAAAGTTTATTTCATAATTTTATAAAATGTATAATGGAACATTTTTTTATTTTAATGAAATTAAAAATTAAAAAATTCTATTTTCTTTGCGTAATTTTACAAATTTTTATATCCACGATTCTTTAATTTGATGTACCTTATATATAGTTTTAGCAATTTATAATTGATTTGTAATATATATGTAGAATTGATTAATAAATTGATATACTAAAATTCTGGTAGTGCTAGATTATAGATTTTAAGTATTTCAGTTTGTAATTTTTACAAGTTGAGAATTGTTTTATAATCATAAAATTGAAAATAATAATTTCTTAAAAAATATATTTTTGTAGAAAAATTACAATGTTTTTACATTAAATTTTATAAATTATTTATAATAAATGGTTTTAATTGACAAAAAATATATGTAATCCTACAAATTAATTAGTTTAAATTAAAAATTAAATATTAATTTGAAATTTGTATTTATCAAAATTGAATTGAGCATGGTACTAGATTATTTTTACTATTTCATAAGTAACGCATATCAAAATTCTACATATTTGGTCAAAATGTTGTCTTCTATCAATAATATTAAAAGCAAATTTTAATGTAATTTCTGTTTGACCATTATCATCTTGCTTTCAATTAATGCAAATTTCAGATATTATATCATTTGATTTTTAATTTTTGAAATAAAATTATTAATATGTTGCATTTCAATTTGTTTACAAATTTTACAGTGCTCTAAATAATTAAAAATGTAGGAAAAAAAATACATAAAATTATATTCTCAATTTTTTTTATAATGATTTCATTATAGTAATAACTAATAAATATAGAAATATTAGTTTTCATAAAAGATTTAGTTTTGTGAAAATAGATATATTTTTTTACCTGAATTTTTACCTTCGTAGTACAAAAGCAATGCTTGAATTTTAGGACTGTTTAAGACTTCTGAGAGTATAATTACTATTTTGCACCTTATTATTAAATAACAATTCTTAAGGTTAAAAGATGCATTGAGTTTATTCTTATTTTTTTTTACATGATAAAATTAAAGGAAATTTCTAACATTATATTATACAAATTTCTATAATTTTAATATTCAAATGTGATAATTATAAGTTCTCTAAGTTAACTATAAGTTATGAAAGTTGTACAATGTGATGTTAGACATTAATCTATAGAAATTTCTTTATAATTTATATATGTTTCCAAGGAATTTAGCTATACTTACTTTTTGATCACTAAATTTTCTTGACTCCAAATAAAAAATCCATGATGGTCTTTACTGGCTACACTTAATAAGTCACCATATAAACACATCATATTAAGGCATTCTAACATATAACAAAGAATGTTTGGACTCTTTATTATATTCAGCTCCTATATTTTTACTTTCATAATTAAATTTATAAATTTTAAATTATGTTAAATCAAAATAGATTTTGATAAACTTACTTTAAATAATTTATGAATATACTGTAGCTGATCTGGTAGATCTTTAATACAGAATCTTTGTTTTTCTACTGATATTTGTTGAGAATTTTCAAAATTATGATTTGGTTGCATCAAAATAACATCATTCACTTCAACTAAATTGGATTTGTTTATATTAACTGTAGCAGTAACTGAAAAAAATAGTATTAAAAAATATAATAATTAAAAATATTATTTATATTTTGATTTACTCAAAGTTTAATATTGCTTATACATTTTGAATTAATACATGATTAATAGTTGATATTATATTTTATAATAACATGAACGTTAAATAAAAATTAAATAAAAAATAGATAAATTATTTAATCAATCACTTATATTTAGTCTAATCGCTTAATTAACATAAGGCAACTTTAACAATTTTTATAAGTTTCAAAAATATAAAATGGGTTTAGATAAAACCAAATTTTTGTATGAATAAAGCTCGGTGAATTTATAATATTTAAATATCAAATTTTTCTTGATCTTTATTAATATTATTATATAATCTTATTATACTGAAAAATTTCTTATATCTTATATATACAAATATATATTTTCTTCTCTTTTATAAATATGAATGCATTATAACATTGCTGCATCCTTCAAATTTAAATTCTGTACAAAATGTATCTGATGATCCGGCTCGTTTTACCATGCCCAGTTCGAAGGACCAAAATTGTTTACGCAGACAACTCTGAGAGTTGTGTGGTAGCGATGTGCGGGTAAGTGGAAGGGATAGTGTTATTAATTTAATTTGTTCGAAATTGTGAGAACCTTTTCCTATGCCACAAAACATATGGAAAAACAACATCGTTAAATTGTCGTTTTGACTTCTGAAAAGTTGTGCCCATAAAACATGTGGCAGTAGTGTCATTAAACATCTGGCAAGAAAGTCGTAAGACTCGGGAAATCCAACTCATTTAGAAGCCGCAAGGAATCGCTATGTGCGAAAATATAAAATTTAACGGTATATACTGCCCCTCCCCCTTTATCGTCAAGTTGTCGTACGTTCGTCAGACGCGTCAAAGGCAATGAAATCAAGAGCTCTTCTAGCTGTGAAGATCAAGAGAAGACTAAGCTTCGTAATGCAAAGTCGAAACCACGAGAGGCGATGCCCTCACTGTATACGGAAGCTCTCTGATTGGACACAAAAAAGGGAAGAGATCCTAAGTAAAAACTATCGTCAGTAAATGTATTTAAGAGAGTCAATCACAAAATTTAATCACTTCGGTGAAGTGCTTATTCAAATAGGAAGTCCCTCAAACGTATTCCGAAGCCAAACATTCATTGAAGTCCCCAAGGAAAAGAGATGTAAGAAATTACCTTATCGGAGTCCGAAGATAGGTACCAGTTGAAGTCCTTATTGAAGAAGGAAGCGGTAAAGTCCATCAAATGTCTCTAAGATTAGTCTTCGTTTGTAGTATCAACTACTTAGGCGTCATAGCCATGAACTAAGATTCAGGAGTCTAAGAAGCATGGTCATCAATCATACATAAAGGATTGAGGCCATATCTCAGGTACACGTAAAATTATCCTAATTAATTCGACTGTTTATACTCAAGGAGAAGCAAGCGCTCCATGCGCACGTAGTACGTGTCGACAAGTCTTCGCGCCATTTGCACCTACCTTGCTAACCCAACCTTTTTCCTATCTCGATTTCCACGCTCAGGAAGCCAATTTTCGCGCCATTCGGCGCTCATAGCAGACATAACACGGTGCCTTTTCGATGTAATGGTAAGAACTTTATAACCACTTACTTCCGAGGGAATGGCATCAGTGTACTACTCCAAGAGAAGCAACATATTACATCCAATTGCCCCTGCTTAAAGTACGCTTGCTACAGCAAAGCGTGATCTGCCCAAACCAAGATGAAGTTGATCAATTGATAACAGTAATAAGAATCATGCCTGTACCTGGAAATTAACTGAATAAACAGCATAATAAACAGATGTCTTGATATTGAATAAATTACACTATCCCTTCCACTTACCGCACATCGCTACCACATAACATCTCGTGGTCTCTGAGCTGTCTGCATAAGCAATTTTGTATCCTTCGAACCGGTCCTCGTAAAATGAGCCAGATCATCGAATACATTTTATACATAATGGTATTACATACATTGGTGATCTTTGATTAGTAGTATTTTCATCTTGATAAATTTTATAGGTAAATAATAATATTATGTATTATAAAAACATTTGATGATATTATTTACTATTATTTATTATTATTTTTATTATTTATTATTACAGTTATTTTTCTTTATAATTAAAAAATTAAAATCTGATTAATTTATTTCCTAAGTTACAAAAGGAATTCCTAATTCAGCAAATATTGACACAATCACTAAATGTTTCTATTAAAAATCAATCCATCAATTACCAATTAATTGGTAATTATCTTAAATAATATCATTCAAATAATTTATGAATTATCATTAAACTTTATAAATAAAGAATGTTAATTAATTCCTTTATAAATTTCTTTATTAACTACTTAAAATCTAATTAAATTTATTATTTATTTATTATTGTTCAGTATTTAACTACCTAATAAAAAATAAGAATTTATTATTTGGTAAAATAAGATGCCGATACATTACATTTAGAATAAGGCGCAATATTTGAATTATACATTACAAAAATTCACTGGAAATTTAGCCGCGCACTTTGTCCGCATAGCAACAAAAGAAGCTTCTCGAATTTATCAAAGCTTGCTTCCAGACAATTCACTAGAGCCTCTAAGAATTTATAACACCAAATGCACGCAGAAAATGCACGAAGAAAAACAGTCTTGTTGAATTACTCAAGTGAAATTAGTGCCAGTCATATATGTGAAAGTCGAACTCGTCTGAAGGAATTCGTGCAAGGTATATTATTATTATTCGATTATTATTATTGCTGGCCAGCTATCGGTGCGTCCTCCACAACGTGACGCTAGTCAGACCGCATTGAGGACGACGACATAAACTGGCATCTCCAGCATATTACTTACACTTTTCGTGACCCCTCCCCGATTTCTTGTGACCGTTCGCGGCCTACGTCTACCTTATCATATTTATTAGTAGACCCCGGCTTAATTCTCGTTAGCAGTGCGAGATTTTGCCGGTCATGCCACCCCGAGCAGACTTTTCTTGACCGTTCGCGGCCTTCGTCTACCTTATCACATTTCTTAGTAGAACTCGGCCTAGCTTTCCTCATCACTGTGAGACATTGTCAGTCATGCTACCCTGCGCAGACTTTTCTTGACTTCTCTGTGCGACTTGATTCTTATGAGACCGCTAAAGAGGGCGCCGATACTGATTAGTAGACCCCGGCCTAATTCTCATTATCACTGCGAGACATTGCCGGTCACGCCACAACAAAGTTGTAACGAAACCACAACAAAGTTCTAACGAAACCACAAAAGAGGGCGATAACAATTCGTAATGATCCCCCCCTCCACTGCCACGAACCGAATATCACTCAGTTCAATTCTAGCGTCGAGTCAAACGCCTAATTAGTCGCGAGCAGAATCTCGCTTAGTACATTTCGAGCGTCGACTTAAGCGTCTAAGCATCCGCGAGCCGGATAATGCCCAGTATAATTCTAGCATCAACTCACACAACACATAACTGTCGAACAAGAAAGACTCCGTAGATTTATAAACTAGAACCCGTAATCAGTACTCCCGAGTTACCTTACGAGTCTTGCACTTCCAGACGATGTTCCGACTTAATATCAGCTGCCTAATTACCACAATCAACAATTCTCAATATAATTAACAACATCAATATTACTGTAACAACTACTTAAATAAAGGTCACTAAAACCAATTGTGTTTATTATGAATTGATGCATTAACCTCTCACTCATCCCCCCCTCTATCACAATTAAACCGGTGGTGCGGTCTAATCCACCCACCGTGATCTGCGATCATACTGGTGGCTGAAATTTCAAACAATTATTATTTAATGTTTTTATTTCAATATACTTGTTTTAATTTTAAATTTAATTCTCTAATAATATTTAAGAATGTATAGATTTTTTAGCGATTTATAATATAAATATATTTATAATAAAATATGAAGTAAAGGAAGATTTTTAATTTTATTTCAATTCTCAATAAGTTATATATTGTGCTATGCGTGTAAATTATCAGTAAAATTATTATTTTTATAAAATTATTAAATTTAATGTATCTCTGTATTCATTAAGAGCAATCATTGCATAAAAATTTATATTTAAGACTGTATTTTAATTATGAATGAATTTTAATATTTAAATGACTTATTTCTACTAAAAATTCAGCTTAAACGATTAAAAAATTTTAAAAACTGCTTATATCAATTTATTACACTTGTAGTTAACAGTACAATATCTAGATAATACATATCTAAATTATATAACCCCTTAGGTTCTTATTTATATAAATGATACCTTATTGAATAATATTAAATATATATTGAAAAAAAAAATTTTATAAAAATTAAATAGTAGTATACATATAACATATAATGTTAACTATAATAGTATGTTATAAGGCTCCATATTTAAGCTTATATATACCAAATAATAAATCAATTATTTCTGAATAATATTTGATATTCATTTATATTAATTAAAATATTATATCTATATTCAATGTAATATAATCTATAATAATTTTAACATAGCGTAATACTACATTGAAAATTTATATTATATGATGTCAGTAGAAATTATAATATATATAACAATTATAATAAGATTCAAATTATCTAAAATGCACTATTTTCAGGATACAATATTTATTATTTTATATTATTCCATTAAAAAAAAAACTTCTTCATATTTTTTAATTATTTAAATTACTTATTAATGTATTTAATTATATTTGAAAAAATAATATGTCAGAGATATAAGTTAGTTCATTTGATTTATAAATGTATATCAAATTATTGATTATTAGATAGCTATGAATAAATCAAGGTATTACAAACTTCTTTAAAATTAATTACTTGCTTCAAGAACTAGAATTAAAATTTTAAGTTATTATATCTATTTATTATAGTTTCTATCTTACCAACATCAGTTCCAGAAATTGTATGTGCAATAGTAGACATAATTTTTTCTGCTGGCATGATATTTGATAATTCTAATTGTTCTGATACTGTTTCTACTGTTGCTGTCATAATTTGTTCGAAAAACTGAAATAAAATATTACATGGTTTTAAGATTTTATGTTACAGAAATAAGTCTAAATTAATAATAATCGATATATTACTTTCTAGTTTATTAGTTTAAATTAAAATATTATTAAATATTTTATTTGGAATAATGTTATATTGGTAATAGCAACTCTGTTCTTTGTGTCAAGTTCTTCATCAGTTCTGAAATTGTCAGTGTTCAGAATTGGAGCACTTAACATGAACTTTTAAATTCTCTAAATTTGTAATTGTCTGGGATGAGACTAAAAGCCTCTCTGTGATGGTGGATGGAGGCTTGCTGACAAGCAGAAGGGGCAATGCAATAATTCAACACTGCCTTTAGAGTGTAGTGTCTTTCCCATTATTGAATATAATAAATATAATAAATAGTCAGTGATCTATGGATGTTGAAATGAATGGGTGAGAGTTTCTTCAATTAATATTTGTGACGATAATTCTGTAAGTGTATTCTTGATAGCCTGGAGCTTGATTCTCCTCCTTATGAAATCGTAGTAGTAGTCGGAGACTCGCACTGGTAGGGGCAGCGAGTTGGGGTCGCCTTAGCCGCTGGCGTAGGATGAACGTTGTAGTGGTCTGGTGGTGGGAGGATGTCCGTGTGACGTTACTGCTTGACGAAGTGGGAGGTTCATTCGTACTGTATACCGTGATATAGGTAGTTTGTGGTATTGGTGTATGTTAGTAGTGTCGCTGATTACGTAGTTGACGGGAGCCGTGTATTAGTCAGCCGTAATAACGTGTGTAATAGCGTAGCTTACGTACGGGCTGGAATCGATCTCAGTAGTATTAGCAGTACGTAAGAGTGAGTGTAATAGTCTCGCTTACCTACGTGTTGGAGTCGATCTCAGTAGTGGTAAGCTGAATGAGCTTAGCTTACTTGTAAGGTGGAGTCGATTTCTGTAGTAGTGGTAAGCCAAATGAGCTTAGCTTACGTATGATGTGGAGTCGATCTCTGTAGTGTTGGCTGGAACAGAACTGAAGAATGGCGATTCTGTCGTGATGAATGATTGATTGAACTAGTAAGAGAGCGAGAGCGTCAAACGCGTCTCCTTAAATATCCTAGCACAGGCTTCCGATTCCGGTGAATTCTGGATCACTCTTGTCATGCCGATTGTTAGAGTGACGTCACTAGAATCTAGCTTTGGAGAGTGCGTCGGCCTTGTTAGTCGGAATTGTAATGTAATATTCGAATATTTTGCGTATCGAAGTTTTCCGATTTCACAGAATTGTGTTTATGACTCGGCACACAAATATTTCTAACGAAGCACAGGTGTCTTTACCTCTCCCACTTTGTATACCGCTTAAAACTGCTGTAATCTTGCTTGAGAATATCTTGTAATATTTATCTATTGTCCGCATAGCAACTACGGTAGAAGTTTCCAGCCAGAAGGATTGCTTTCATACAATTATCGAACATTCAGGAACTAAGAAACTGACGTCACGCGAGAAGCTTCGGTATAGTAACACCCAGGCCTTGTTTCCAGACTAACGAAATACGCTCTCGAATATTTAAAGGCAGCACACGTCGAAGGCCAGTTCAATTTTGTTGAGTCCGTCAAGAGGAATCTGTGTTAATCATACTGCTACGAGGCGCTACTACTACCATGCGTCTCCAGCAGTATTAGCCTTCCCGATAAACCTTCATATCCAGATGAAGTTCTGCGCTCTTTCTCCACGTATCCGTGAACAGGAATCTGTGCAAGGTATCCGTCCACGGGGCGCCGCTATTTGCTATGCGCGTCCAGCGAGATTAATTCTCCTTTATTCTGTTACGGGGTGCTGTTACTTGCCACAGGCCTCCAGCAAGGCCAGTCTTCCCTTGCACATCCGGAAGAGGCCTTACATTTCTTCTCTAAACATCGCTCAACAATTCGATCTCTACAATTTCACTACTACTGGTGAATCGCTTACATATTTATAATTCAAACCAAAATAAACGTTACGAAAACTAATTGTGTTGATACTGAATTGGAGCATTACTCTCTCATTCATTTCCACTTTGCCATCAATAAAATGGAGGGTATTGTCTAATTCAATCATCTTGGTCTCGACTTCCGGGTGATTGGAATTCCGAATAGTCAGAATCCCATATTTAACATTCTGAAGGAAGAGGGATTGGTAATATATAAAAATTATAGAAAAACATTAATACTAATTTTATAAAATAATAAAAAATTTAAAGAATATGGTGCAATAAATATACATTAATGTATAAAATTTGAACAAACAATTCTTAGAAATAATCTGATAAGTAAAAAGAAATAAGCAATGACCAAATGAAGCAAAACAGAAACCAAATTAATTGGTTTTACAATATATATACGATTAATATTCAAATACTAATGTCTTACATTTCAATCTTTAATCAAACAAATTAATTAATCAAAATAATTAAACAAGATATAAATAAAATATGGTATAAAAATTCAAAACATTTTTTCTAGTTTAGAATTTATTTTATTTTTTACAATTTTTATTTTATAATATAAATATCATATCTCATTTTATACTGTCAAATTATCAAGAAATTTTAGATTAATAATTGATTAATTAAAATTTGTTAATCCACATACAATGTAATAATAAAAAATTAAGACTAATGAATCACGATGTATACGTATTAATTAAAAGAAAAACTTATTGTTAGTGTAATACAATTTTTCTTATTAAAATATATATATACTTTACTTTTAAAAATTTTAAACTATGCAAAATGCTAATACAAATATAATTTAAATTAAAATTTAAAAACTAAATACAGACATATTTTTGTACTTATACCAAATAAAATATTATTATATAAATTAAAATGATTATTTAAAAAAGATAGTGTTTATATTATAAAGTACAAGAATTAATGAGAATTAAATAATAAAAGTATACTTTTTAACTTACATGTGGCATATGAACAAGTACTCCTCCTACTGAATGTAATTCTGGAATTGGCATATTTAAAACAACATCTGGTTTACTATCGTGCTTTTTCATTCCATCTACTAGAGTTTTCTTCTCAGAAACGTTGGTTGAATCCATACCAGTAGACTAAACATTTTTTAAAATAATTTAATGTGTAACAAAAATTTGAAGAATTATTTAAATATTAATACAATTGATTTTTACGAATTATTATTCTCTTTATTAATTTCTAATTAACAATGTCTCAAAATTTCAAAGATAATTATTTTATAAAAATAAAAAAATATGAAAATTATTTTATAAGCTGTATAAAAAAATAAATAACCATACACTACATGGTATGATATATAAAAAATTGATTTAAATAAAACAATTAAAAAAAAAGATATAGATTACTCATTTCAAGGAAGAACGAACACGTGACAGATTTACAATGCAAAAAGAATGTTAAATAAATGAAACAAATATTCAACATGTTTCTGTGAATAAAAATGAATTTAGAGCGGAAACAAAGAAAAATATAACTGTACTCTGACGCATAAGGGGATATGATCCTAGAACATCTTTAAAAAAATGTATAAAGAAGGACTCGTATGATTTTACGGAATTATTTGACAAATAAACTTCAATTATGAGAAATTAACTGCAAAACTATTCTAAATACAATTAATTAATATTATTTTCAGAAAATGAATATAATAACAATTATGTGATTGAGTAATTAAGTATATAAACATTCTGTGAATTAATCGTTAAAGATTAAAATTGGATTTTAGTAGATACATTTATCACATTTGTTAATACTGTTTAAGTTATTACTATTCTGTTTTCTTATTGTTTGTTTAACTTGAAGGAAACGATAATTTAATTCTCTAAAATTCATAAATTTTGCTTATTTAATATTTCTGATTTACTTGCTCCTTTAAAAAACAGATTTTTATGTTACTTTTGATAACTTTTCAAAAATAATCATTCTACCCACACTCATCAATAAAATATAGAAGTAATCGAATATTATAATAGGAATAAGGTTAGATAGCATAATATTTTAAAAGAATTGTATAAGTACTCTGATAAAATTTCATAGAATTTTCTCGGGTTACGAACTTTCATAATTTAATTTTAAGAGAGCCTGCCTCGATTTTAGTAAATAATTTGATGAACACAGAAAAAATATTTAATCATCTAATAATTATATTTGCATCATAACCGTTAATATTTGTATAAGTCTTAAGAATGCTTGTCTGGGATCAGACTTAAAACCTCCTTATGATGGTGGGTGGAGGTGTTGCTGGCAAATGGAAGGGGCAATGCAATTATTCAATACTACATGCAGTGTTTTTTTTCTTTTCTTTATTTACTGTAATAATATAATAAATAGTTAATGATCATAAAATGAATGAATGAAGGTGTGAGTGAATAATAAAACACTATTGAGAACAACAGCAGCATGCATCAGATTCATTGCATGTCTGAAGGTGGAACAAATCGCAAATGGTCATCTGACACCTGCGGAGATGGAGCAAGCAAGAATTCAGTGGATAAGAATGACACAAGAAACATACTTCGCCCATGAATTAAGATTATAGAAATCCCAGGCCAAATGGCTCCCCCCCCCCC